CTGAACACACTGATTTAGTTCTTCACACGGACGTCAGGTGGTTGAGTCGCGGAAAATTCCTAGAAAGGTTTCAAGAATTATTGCCCGAAATAACAGCTTTTCTAGACGAAAAAGGTGATGACACTCAGATTTTGAAAAACGAAAAATGGCTAAATGATTTGGCATTTTTGACTGACATCACAATGCACTTAAACACCGTTAACTTGGAGCTTTAAGATAAAGAAAAAACTATTATTGAAATGATTAGCGCAGTAAAAGCATTCAAAAGTAAATTGCAACTTATGATAGATCAACTGAAAAGAAAGGATCTGAAACATTTTCCGTCTTTGGAAGCAAGGATTCCTCAGTTAAATTATGATACATATGAGGCTAAATTATCAAATATTTTGGGACAATTCGAAATGCGTTTTTATGATTGCAGTAAATTGGAAAATATAGCATCATTTAAGAGTTATCCTTTTTCATGTAAAAACATTAAGGAATTAGCTGCTGAAATAGGAAGTCAGTTTAATATGAACGCATGTTCTGTTGAAAATGAGTTGGTGCAGATTATATCAGTTATACATCTCAAAGCTACAGTATCTGATACAAATTTCTGGCGTTTAATATCTGAAGATAAATATCCGAATGTAAGGCAAATCGCCCTTCAACTGACGGCATTTTTTAGGTCAACTTACTTGTGCGAGTCTGCATTTTCTGAAATGAAGTTAATTAAGTCAAAATATCGCAATCGACTAACTGACGATCATATGACATCTTGCTTGCGATTAGCACTCAGTGGTTACGTACCATCTTATGAAAAGTATGCTGAGGATATGCAGTGCCACGCTTCAACATCCAAAGCTACTCCTTAGTTAAGTTTAACACCATATGTAACTTTTTTGTTTTGTAACAACAAATAAACTCGCAATTTTGAATAACTATGAGTTTTTTCATTGATATTGTAGAGAAAAACCTAACTAAACCTAACCCAAACCTTGATATATGCTATGGTACGCCCTACCTAAGTAGGTAGGGTGTATCGTGTATGTACGACAACCCTGCATCACACACACTTGCAGTCTCTCAGAGTCGATCGTAAGTAGTCTAAAAATATTGAACTTCAAAAAATTTTAAGGCTATTATCGAGCACAAGTTTAACTAAATCAGGCCCAAGTACTTTCGCTAGAATAGCATCTTCAGGGGCATTTCGTCAAATAGGGACTATCCAGCAAACGTAGAATTTAAAAAACATTGAAACTAACATAAAATTGCACAAACAACACACTGAAACAGGGACAAACAGTTTAAAATTAAAATCAAGACTCTACGCACTACATTTTTGTCGGTGTCTGTATGGAGAATTCATCTTCTCCATTCTCCATACAGACACCGACAAAAATGTAGTGCGTAGAGTCTTGATTTTAATTTTAAACTGTTTGTCCCTGTTTCAGTGTGTTGTTTGTGCAATTTTATGTTAGTTTCAATGTTTTTTAAATTCTACGTTTGCTGGATAGTCCCTATTTGACGAAATGCCCCTGAAGATGCTATTCTAGCGAAAGTACTTGGGCCTGATTTAGTTAAACTTGTGCTCGATAATAGCCTTAAAATTTTTTGAAGTTCATTTATTCGAGCATTCAACCTTATTTCAATTAATTAAAAATATTGAGGTAGATCGCCAGCAGTTCAAGTTTGAGTACCCCTGGTCTAGAGCATTGGAGCACGGTGGGGTGACTCCTGTTTTTACTCGAGTTAACACACCTTGCTCCAATGAATTGTTACACCCGATCGTACTACCTGGGTGAACATTTCTCATAGGCTGGGTTCAATTAAATTGCTTGCTTGCTTGCTTGATCGGGACTTCAGTCGTCAGATACTTTTAGCCCCGCTAGACCTTGTTGGCCTGGTATGCTACCAATTGACTATTGGGTTTCATTATTAATCCAAATACCTAATACGTCGAGTACGTCGAATATATAAGAAAACTTCATCCATTTTCGAGAACATAAAACACTTCGAAAAAATACGTCGAATATAAGAACACTTTGACTTCATCCACTGTAAGAAGATATACTTCGGAGCACGAGAACCGGCGTGTTGACTGTAAACGATTTCAGTCTTATAACTATTCTAAATTGTGTTGAACTGCCCACAGCGTTCTTTTCAATGACGACGGTAAAGAGCGAATAAAAGACCCGACGGGGTCTTGTAATTGCTTTTCCGATCAGAGGCAAGCCACGACGACGCTTCGTCGCCTAAAACCTTATGCAAATAGTAACCATAAGAAATATTGTTTGTGAAAGGTAGTGTACAAAGCGACGGGCAGCTAGCAAGAGTCGAAACGACTGGCTTTCTTGTGCCTCTCTCAAAGAGAGGGAACGCGGCTACACGAAGGTCATGAAGTGAGAAGACCGGCATCTCTGTGGATTTGAGGCATACACCACGCAACATAATTCTAACACACACTTTGTCATTGTAAGAATTAGATCTGTAAGAAAGCTCGAGCTGTTAAAGAATTCTGATTGCTGGTGTCCCCTCACCTACCACAGAGGCTCGGTGGAGCTTCTCATACGTAGAAGCCGAAATCCTAATAACTCCTGGAACGAAGATGGACTCTCGAAACTTAAGATCCTCTTCGAGAGTGGCGGTCGCTGAGCGTCCAGAAACCCCTGAAAACCAGGAGGATGCTACGACCGTATGACAACATCTTACACTTCAACTACAGAATAATAAACAATCAGAATGCCCACTTTTAGATGCTGCCTTTAAAGTTTTTCAGTACGCGCACAATGTTTTAGAAGGACACACATAACACAGACATATAATTTGTGAGGTTATGTAATTGTTTATATTTATGTTTAATTATATTATATTTATGTTATTAGGTATATATTTTAACAAATGTGTATGATTACCGTAACTCAATTAAACCGGGTTAATTTTTCTATGCACACCACATAAACAACACTGGTTCCCTTTAAAACATGGCGGAACGTCTGCGCGAACGAGATGCGCGTACTTAATTTTCCATGGAGAGTGAGCATTCTGATTGTTTATTATTCTGTGCTTCAACTGTCAAGCATACAAATTTTCTTTTGTTTCTTACTTTCAAATCAAGTTGATGGTGAAATATTCACCAGCAGTGGCAGGTCATTAAGTAAAAAAAATACAAACAGTTTGTATTTTGAGAACGATTTCCGAAGTGGAAATTGAAACGTCAATAAACGTATTTTTATCTTTAATTGTGGCTTATTCCCAGTTAAATAGTAATTAATTTAAAATGCCACAAAAAAATAGGTTCATAACAATATAGAAGTTGTGGTGAGAGAAGTTATTCACCAACGCATTTATAAGAAATGTGAACAGGATATCAGTGATGAACAATTTGGCTTCCGAAATGGATTTGGGACACGGGAAGCATTAACCAGTTTTATTAACCAGTTTTATTATACTGCTGCAAAAATGTCGAGACCAAAAAAAAGGATCTCTTTTTATGTTTTATTGACTATCAAAAGGCCTTCGACAAAGTAAAACATGATAAGCTGATGGATTGCCTTCACAAAAAGGGACTAGACGAGAACGATTTTAAAATTATCCAAACGCTGTATTTTAACCAAACTGCAGCAGTTAGAACAGAAGCCGGTGACACAGAAATATTCAATATCAAGCGAGGTGTACGACAGGGGTGTGTATTGTCACCACTACTTTTCAATATATATTCGGAAGAAATCTTTGCACGAACACTAGAGCAATCAAGAGAAGGTGTTAAAATTAACGGCAGAGTTGTAAATAATGTACGATACGCCGACGACACGGTCCTAATTGCAGAGAGCGCACAGGATCTCCAGACACTCTTAGATCGCGTCAGATCGATCGGAGAACAATACGGCCTCAGCATTAACGTCAAGAAAACAAAAACAATGATTGTCTTCAAAACATCCATCCATCCACCCATGGCTTTGAACGTGAATGGTAACATTATCGAAAATGTCGAGAAATTTCGATATCTAGGGTGCTGGATAACGAAAGATATAGATCCAGACATAGAAATAAAATCGCGAATTGAACAAGCAAGAAATGTCTTTTTAAAAATGAAACAAATGTTTACGTCCCAAACACTCAAAATCCGATACCGAATGCTGAAATGTTACGTTTACAGCACTTTACTATATGGAATGGAGGCCTGGACCTTCAAAATCAACTCACTCAGGCGTTTGGAAAGTTTTGAAATGTGGTTATTTCGAAGGATGCTGAAAGTCCCCTGGACAGCGCATATGAGCAACGAGCAGGTCCTACACAAGATGGGTACCGACAGAGAACTCTTAAAAATAATGAAAACACGGAAAACTTCATATTTGGGACACATATACAGAAATGAGAAATACCAGATACTGCAGCTTCTTATAGAGGGGAAGGTAGAAGGAAAACGTGGTCCTGGTAGACGGCAGGCGTCCTGGTTGAAGAACATTCGTGAGTGGACTGGTTTGGATTCTCAATCTTTAATAAGAAAAGCCAGGGACAGAAATGATTTTGCTGAGGTTATCGCCAACCTTCATTGAAGACGGCACCCAAAGAAGAAGGTGAGAGAAGTTTGGGATGCAATTGACCAAGACCAAATACGCCGCTGTATTTTAAGTATGCCTCATCGCTGTGAGGACGTAATTAGATTTAGGGGTAGAAATACTCGTTATGAAGAGTTTTTGGGAAAGGGAATTGTTAAAAATTATTCATGTTATGTTTTCTTAGGCTTTAGTTGAATAAAATGTCAATAAAGTTTATGTAAGTAGTGTTTTCTTTGCTTTAAATGTTAATGAAAACTTGTTACATTTAAAGTTCTGTATAATCTTTGATAATACAGATATCGAGATATTTTCTTTACCAAAATCTTGAGAAAGGATGTAGCGTTTATGTCTAATAAATTCCACAGGGTGTTGCTAAATACGATAAGTGTCTATAAAATTGTCCTGCGAATGTCTATGGAAAATCTTAAGTGATTAAATTATATTCTTTTTCATTTTTAGGAGGATAACACATATTTTAAAGTGTCTGTTACAGCTACCATGAATGACATTTACGAAATTTTACCCACAACAGACGATGATAATTGCAACTTGAATTGCAGATTTAAGGCATATACAAATATTATCTACCTGGTTAATAAAAATGCAAAAATTGTTAGAAGCATTCCAAGTAAGAATATTTGAGTTATAGTAATATTAATTTTTTTATTCGATTAAAATCTATTAATTAGTGTGTATCCAGACAATAAGAATGTAATTGATTAATACACATGAAGGTGGTCAATTATGATCCGATATTTTTTTTTTGTCATTTGCTGGTCTATACTTATGCCTCGTTCTTTGTCGCAATAACGGCTTTATTTAATAATATAATAGGCCAGTAAATGAACGTGAAATACAGCAATACCCTGTAATTTTCCATGTCACCACTGAATTACATGAAAATTTGGATTTAGGTTTTACTTACCCTCCACTTTATTTTTTGACTCATGCCGTTGACTGCTTTTTTATTTTTAGGGGTGAAAACTCCTCGGATTAGAAAAAATCCGATAATTGTAAATGAAAGTGTGTAATTTACTCAAATCATATTTTAATTTTTTTTATTATGTTTACAATCTACTCTATAAAAAGAGTAATAAGTGAATAGTCCGTAATTAAATTAACGTGAGTTGGGTACCGTCCAGTGACGATTCTCTAAGTATTATTGAGGTAGGGCTTTTACCTAACCTAGGACCTAACCCCTTAATTAGTGGAACCACATATGTGGAACCACATTAATTAATCAATTAATGTGGTTTGGTATTCCAGTTTTCTGCTACTATGAATTTGGATCCAATATCTTGTATGAAATCATGAAACTCTTCACTTCAAATTTGATATCTAGGTGGTCTGTATACTGATGCTAGACATAGAGAGGTGTTTGTTTCGATTTTAATGATTGCTGCTTGATTTTTTTTCGTAATGTAAGATTGGACTACCGATGATATAAAACGTGTAGCGGGAAACTGGCTACAAGCGGCCCAGTGTAGAGAACACTGGAAAGAACTAAGGGAGGCCTATGTCCAGCAGTGGACGCGATTGGCTGATTGATGATGAAGATTGGACTGCATAGTAATTAATTTTTGATTTAATAATAACGGCAAAGCCTGCATGTGCTCCTCCGTCTGGATGGTTTGCATAATACGCAGTATAGTAAGGTCTCTTAATAACCGTTCTATTTGTGGTATGGGTTTCATATATTAATAGAAGGTCTATATATTCATAGAATATACTTTTGAAGAGAACACATTTTTGAATTCGTTCAGAAAATTTGATGTCATTGTTGTTATTTTTGTTATCTGTATTTGTGTTTCCATTGGCAACATCTCTTTAACGAATTCTGTTGAAATTATGAACTATGATGTTTTAGTAGTTCACGATAAACAGAACATCTTCTATAATAAGGATGGTCTTCGTTGCAGAGAGTGCAAGTTGCTGACGTGTTTTTTTTTGTTTCTTGTAGCCCTTTGTATTGTGTGATTTAGCGCATTTTACGCAATAATAATATGGTTTTGCACAGTTTGTTTTAGTGTAACCATATTCTTAACATCGTGTACACTGTGTTATATTTATTTTAATTTTAGGTGATTCTACCCTTATTTTACAATGTTGTATATACTGTAGTTCAAATATTTCTTTGTTCGTTTGATGCTCAAGGTTTATATAAAATAATGGTAATGGTTCACGGCTCAATTTGTGTCTAACATTTGTAATATTAATCCACAAGGAATCTACGTTACTCTAGTTGGCTGTATACCATATATTAAAAAATTTATTAAAAATCCTTTGTAAAAGGTATATATTTAAGAACCAAATGGGCTAAGTTAAACAGAGAAAACGTTTTCGGAATCCATATTCCATCATCAGTGTCTAGGAGTACATGAATGTAGCCACTAAATATATGGGTAAAAACCCGTTAACAAATAATTAATTACATTTAGTTTAAAAATTTTTTTATAATGATTTAAGATCTTAAAGTTACCGTTGGATTAGGTAACATGGCGACATATGACTCCACGTTGAAGTTGCTAGTCCTGAGACGGTGTGTCTACGAAGACTGTAGTCAGTCAGGTCAGTTGCTCCCATACAGTCTTCGTAGACACACCGTCTGAGGACTAGCAACTTCAACGTGGAGTCATATGTCTCCATGTTACCTAATCCAACGGTAACTTTAACATCTTAAATCATTATAAGACATTTTGTAAACTAAATGTAATTAAATATTTGTTAACGGATATTTACCCATATATTTAGTGGCCACATTCATGTACTCTTAGACACTGATGATGGAATATGGATTCCGAAAACGTTTTGTCTGGTTAACTTAGCCCGTTTGGGTCTTAAATATATACCTTTTACAAAGGATTTTTAATAAATTATTTTGTAATATTGTTCTAAAGCTATTTTCTTGTGGCATTTTATATTAATTACTATTTAATTGGGGATTAGCCACAATTAAAGATAAAAATACGTTTATTGACGTTCCAATTTCCACTTTGGAAATCGTTCTCAAAATATAAACAGTAAATTTACTGTTTCTTTTTTTTATCTTTAATTGTGGCTTATTCCCAGTTAAATAGTAATTATCATTTGTAATGTTGCTTTCCTTATGATCCTTTTTCTGGCTTTCCGCTTTTATTTATCGATCAGAAAGAAATGATGTAGGTCTCGAATAATTGCTCTGCTTCTCTCTTCCTTAAGTTGGTATGTATGGTGAACGATTTTTCCTCTCGTACATGATGTACTAGTTTTCTGTAGGATTCAGTTGTATATGGTAAAATTTTTATTGTGTTGTTTAATACTTTAGCAAAATAAGTTTCTACTTCTACTACTTGAGTTAAATTATCTATCATTTTTCTATAGTCATTCACTCCATATATAAATATTGGAGAGGGTTTTGAGATTGGTGGATTTTTATTCGTATCATTTACGGAATTTTCTTGTAGAAGTATTATAACCTAATTTTTAATTAAAAAATCTAAATTGACTATGAATAATTGAGTTGTTGCTTTTTGTTGGTGTATGTGCCACTAACATATTTCCTATTTGTGCTTGTAGAGTGTTTGTTTTTCTTTTAGGCACCTTAGAGCAGCCTCTGTAGTTAACTGTGTGGGCTTGTCCACAGTTAGTGCATTTAGGATCTGTGTTTCTATCTTTGAACACACAATGGCAGGCCTTTGAACCATAGAAAAATCCTTCGCATTTGTTATATTGTATTAAATATTATTTGTTCTTCTTCTTCTTCTTCTTCTTCTTCCTTTATTGGGTAATATCCCAGGGGATAATTTGCCCAGCTAATTCAGGGGGGAGGGGGTATTCTCAACTTGCTCTAGATAGTCGAATATGTACATATAACACTAAATTGAAATTATTTTATATTGAATGAACACTATGTCGAAACTTCTTCTTCTTGGGCCAAAGAGTTAGTATAGGAAAGTCTATTCAACACAGGATAAAACTTTTCTCGCTTGGGGGTAGCAACCAGTCTTTTTCTACATAGTCTTTTTTGATGAGGTCCTCAGAGTTTTACGGCAAACTCTTCTACTATTTGTTTCTAATCTCATAATATTATCTTCTTCTTCTATCCTTTTTTCTTCTTCTTTTTCGTCTTTCTACTTTCTCTTCACCGACTATTACTAGAAACATAGGCAAGGTTTTCTTGTCTTGTTTCTTCGAGATAATGTTCGAGACTTATGCCCCGATTTCTTTGTTTTGAAGCTTACGAATTGTTTCTTAGTTTTTTTTTAATTAGATAGATTAATAATGAATTCGAAAAATTTTAATTTACTTTAATTGCGAGCCATAGTTAAATTTGACAATAATTTTTCATTTTGTACACTAAAATTATTTTTAGTCGGTGTATTTTAGAATTTTTATTGGAATAGTTCTTTTTCATAGTACATTCAAGACTTGATACGGATCTGGACTTTCTGACGAATATGACGACAGTAACAAACAAGCCATCAAAACTTATAACTACTTGCAGAGGAGGCTATGGTATTGAAAAATTTAAACAAAGAGTATGTGGTAAGTTCTTGTTAAAAACTATAACATTAACGTGTTCAATATTTTTGTTATTCTAATCTATTATACAGCATTTTTATTACGAGTAGAGAATTTTCTTAACGAAGGTTACGAACCTTAAACTCATTCTTAATATTCTTCATAACTATTTATTTTTTATGTAAGAGAGTCTCCCTTAGCAGAAACTTTCCAGTTTTAAGACGCCAGAAACTCGCCGATTATTTTCTCTGCTCGTCTGCTATAATATAACGTACATCCATTATACGCCATGTAGCCAGTGGGTACACGAAAAAGTATTCGATGAAGTGAGCGTAGGATTTGCTGACAGAGCGTAGGTCTATTCTTAGAATTGATAGGAAACTTAGATTATATACTAGAAGCTTATATTGCGTTTATTGACTAAGAAAGGGATTTCGATCAGGTTAACAGAAACACTTAAACTAACAAGGAAAATTATGGACAAACGCAGTTATTTCAGACATCTTATAAAAGTGATAAAAGAAATATATTACAAATCAGTAAACATAAATAATAAGTACTTGAAAATTCACAACAAAACAAATAACGATCAACAGAGTAGTGAGACAAGGGCGGGTGATCAAATACTTTTACACAAAACAGAAGATGACCTAAAACTCTTCAACCTACCGCGTGAATCCATGGAGTTTAGAAACCAACATGGTGGTTTCTTACGTCCATACTTGAAACAGATATATGTGCAAATTATAAGCAAAAAAATATCTAAAAACAAGAGGAAAGTTATGGTTTTTAAAGGAAACGAACATGTACATTTTGTATATTTCAAAATAATAATAATCGACGTGTTCTATCGACATAGAACAGGTGTCACATTTTAACATTTTAAGGTACGATATAAGTTATGAATGTGAAAGAGTTATAACCAATAACCTACATTTTACAGTAGCCCTTCTTGGCAACTTTATTTTTATCCTTCTGCCGTTGTTGCAGGTTGCCTGGAATGTCTTGATCCTCTTTTCCACCAGTTCTTTCAAGGCCATTTACGTCAAGTCGGTATTGTTTACTAGCTGTGGCTTCCCCGGAGTCGTCATTGCTGCCGCTTCAGGTGGGGTACCAGATAACTGGTGAAACTTGTTTAGGATGTGTTCCACTTCCTTCTCTGGCGTAACAGGCAGCCCAGGTCTCTGTAGTGTTTCTGGTGGGCTCATCTCTTCAGGAATCTCTAATATTGGAAAACCACAGAAAACTGATCCCCCTGTCTAGGTAAGCTCGAAGTGAGCATTTAAAAGCGACGACGATAATAAAGGGGAGTTGCCTCCTGTATGTCAATGTATTCATCAGGGAGTTAGTTGCTGGCATGAGCCAGTAAAATTGCGGAAAGGAAAGGGATTTTAGGTTTTGGTTTTCTTCTGAATACATTGCCGATGGATAAGCAGATAGTTTTTAAAATGCTTTGGGCTCTGTAGTTTTGACCACAGACGGTGCTGATTTTTTGAAAATAAATTTAGTTTTTGAGCAGACCCAAGTACAAGTCTACATCTCGTGATATTGTTACGAGAGCTGTATCCTCTGCGTAGAGCAAAAAGTGGTTTTGTTAGTGTATTGAGGGTTGAGAGTCACTATTGCGGATTATGTATAATATGGGAGCCAACACTGACCCTTGTAGTACTCCTGCTGTAGGAGTAACAAAATCGGAGAAGTGATCCCGCTCCGTTACCGTGATTATACAATGAGAGACATATTAATGGATAAGTCTAACGCATGAAAGGGGCAGGCCGATGTTCAACAGTTTCTTGGCTAGTCCCTTATGCCAAACTTGGTCAAAGGCTTTTTGAACATCGAGAAAGATACCTAAAGATACTTTTCTCTCTGGTTTCTCTTGCGGCGGCTGCTCTTTTATACGGTCGAAGGCCTTCCATCTCCTCTAGAGCACATCGATTCAGGAGGGACTTCTGGTAGAGACGCGTAATTACGAAACGCTGACGGTATCGAAGCGATGCAAATCGTTACACTTTTCAAAATCAATTACACCTATAAATTCGAAAAAGCAACCATTAATTAATATATTTCAATAAATTTTAAACAAATTAATTTAGGATGAATCAAATTTATTTACGCCGATAACGTGAGATATTTAAAAAACTTTCATGAGAACGTTTTTGTAAGAACCTTTAAAATTAAAGGATTAAAAATCAAAATATCTCTCTACTACTAAACTGTACTTTTTTTTAGTTATTTGTCCTAAACATACATTTAGCCCAATTGATGAAGCTTTTTGTAAAGTTTGTCCTGCTGGACAATATCAGCCTCATCTGGGATCACAGGGCTGTATCCCGTGCCTTTCCCCACTTGATGATACAATGTGTCTCAGAATGTTGGTAGGTAAGATTGAAAGAAATAACAAATAATAAATATATGTTTCTAAACCTTCTAGTATTAATTTTAACATTTGTAAGAAAAAAAAATAAAATTGTTCCATGTGTCATGTGGCCCTCCATGCCCCATAATTCGTCCCTACCATTTCCAACTATCGAATGTAAAAAGTGGTACTATTCAGGAGAGAGGAAGATAACTCTTTTTTTAGGGAATCCTAAATCAACGCCCTTTATATATATATATATATATATATATATATATATATTATATATATATATATATATATATATATATATATATATATTATATATATATAAATAAGGATCACTCAGATGAGTGGTGGGTTCAATTATCGGTCAACTAGGTGGAGAAATAAAAGACAAAGTTGATACTACTTCATCTATTTTGAAGACGTTTCGCTATCGAATTCTGATAGCATCATCAATTCATCTAAAAATTTTTACATTATGAGTACCACACATTCATGAAGAAGATGTTAAATAGTTACCTTAAAAAAGATATGTAGTTGTCAATGGTATTAAAAAGGTAGTACAAAAACTCAAATAAATGGACATCGTATGGTGATATTGTATAAACAATTAAATAACTAACAACATTTAGAGACTTAGTAAAAATTAGCAAAGCAACAGAACACGTGGTCTAATAAGCATATAATATTTAATATAATATTAACTAGTGAAAAAGAACTAAGAAAATCATTGATTCACTTCCAACTAAGCAAAAAATTTTATTTTAACTTCATCTTAACTTTTGGTAGCATTATTTAAGTTAACTACATTAAGATATAAAAAATATGTATAAAAAAGATATAAAGTTAAGTTACCACTGTTTGCTTGGCACCTGTTGCAGTTGAAATGGCGTTAATTAAAAGGTACCGAGTCAATGACATGAAACAGACAGCCAGCCTTGAGGTCGAAAATTATTCGACAGAACAGCAAGGTTAATAGTACCAACCCACTAATTTACGGGCGGTAAATTTGAAAAAGTTAACATGAGTTTGAATGATAACCCTCCCGTAAGAGACCAAACAATGAAAGAAATTAGCGATAACGCTAATCCCCTGCATCAACTAGTCTAGAACAAACAAGTAGGCAAAATTCATTCAACTCCATATTTAAAAAAATGATAAACGTCAACAGTGTAGTTGGATATACATCCACAGGTGATTGACGATAAGCACCTAATTTCCAAAAAGTCCAATTTTTGTACCTTTTAATTAACGCCATTTCAACTGCAACAGGTGCCAAGCAAACAGTGGTAACTTAACTTTATATCTTTTTATACATATTTTTTATATCTTAATGTAGTTAACTTAAATAATGCTACCAAAAGTTAAGATGAAGTTAAAATAAAATTTTTTGCTTAGTTGGAAGTGAATCAATGATTTTCTTAGTTCTTTTTCACTAGTTAATATTATATTAAATATTATATGCTTATTAGACCACGTGTTCTGTTGCTTTGCTAATTTTTACTAAGTCTCTAAATGTTGTTAGTTATTTAATTGTTTATACAATATCACCATACGATGTCCATTTATTTGAGTTTTTGTACTACTTTTTTAATACCATTGACAACTACATATCTTTTTTAAGGTAACTATTTAACATCTTCTTCATGAATGTGTGGTACTCATAATGTAAAAATTTTTAGATGAACTGATGATGCTATGTCTTTGTCTTTTATTTCTCCACCTAGTTGACCGATAATTGAACCCACCACTCATCTGAGTGATCCTTATTTATATTGAATAGATGATCGTACTCCTTTTTGCGATATATATATATATATATATATATATATATATATATATATATATATATATATATAATAATATATATATATATTATATATGGATTGGATTAATGTTCTTACAAATTTTATTACAAATCATTGAATTAAAAATTGAAATTTTAGGATAAAATTGGAAAATTATGTTTAAAGAAATTATTGAAAGCATTTTTATGAAAGTTATGTATTACTATTAGAAAATTAATGTAATTACAAATGTAAAAAAACATAAAAATAATCACAATATATTAATTATGGAATCTGACGTCCTGTAGATACCTCAAGAACTCAGTCATGACCCTCAATTGTGTAAAATAATAGTAAATTAAAAGTTTTAAATTTTGAATTAAACGTTATCATTGTCTTCAGTTGCGTCAGGTTCTGATAGATAATCTCTGGCAGTACTAGACGTTGATAAAGATTGGTAATATTGGTGGTCTGGCCTAGGTATTAAGTTTTGTTCACATAGTGACAAGAGGTTCTTTTCTTCGCATCCGTGTTGGGAGCTTTTCTCGTATGCTTAAACGGGGTTTATACTATTTTGTTTGCCTCTTTTTGTTTGGTTTCGAGCGATAAAAAGTTTCCGTCAATGCTAGTCTTTATAAAAAGTTTATTTTAATTTTTTCGATACTGGTACCATATACCATCATTATATTTAAAATTAGTATTTCCATTACTTGTTTGTTCTCTTTTACTTCATTTTCTTTTTCATATTGTTTTTGCTTGTTCTTTGGTTTTATTTTATTTTCAAGTGCAAATGTCACTCTTCTAGGTTAAAGTCAAGAAGTCGTCATGAAGAAGGTATTTCACTTTAAACGAGCACGGCTTAGTAGAAAATGTTTCAAAACCTCCTGAATCTCGTAAATACGTATGCCCGAAAAAATAAATGGATCCTAAAAGCATGCACTATTTTAATTTCATATGAAATTAGGCGACAGGGTAGGATTTGCACGTGCTAATAATATCGAGTATTTCCAATAAACATGACATATTATATTTCTCTAATCTTAAACATTCCAGTTAGTCATCGCATTTTTATTTTATCTCACATTGAAAGTTGTAAGTAATAAAAATTTACGACTTCCCGTCTTCACTGTTGATAAAAATTGCTGTGTAAAAATGTAAAATATTTACATTGTACTAATTTGGCTTATGAATAAACCCTAAAGAACTGAAAAAATCTAGAGAACAAATAAATAACAAATCAATGTATTCTATGATAGAATAGATTTTGATTTAAATTCAGCAAAATAATATGTTTATACGAGACGAAAACCTCGAATTCCTTGGGAAAAATATTCCCATGAGATTTTTTGACCATACAAAAAGTGGTCCTAGTTTATTAATTTATTTATTTATTATTTATTAATTAATTGGATGGTTTATATATTGGATTGGATTGATTATAAATTCATTTTTAGGTTGTGATAAGGGTCTCAAACAACTAAAAACAATGTTTTAAAATCAAATAAGCCCAAACTAAAGTATCAGAAACCGTAGACCTAGATTTGGTGAATTCAAAAATAATTGTGTGCTTTTAAGCCATCTTTCGTTTTTTTTCAGTAGATTGTCTATATAAGTTATATAAAATAAAAATATAAAAATAAAAGCTATAAAATATTAAAGCTATTTCAGTAACGCAAAAACTATATAGTTTGTCTCTGTCTCGTTACGATAACGCACTGAAGAGAACTGCTACTGCATGTTTTTAGCAATGCCTGATATCATTGTTTCGTTCGTAGATCGACATCACTAAATGATTACGTCAGGTCCTTTATATTATGAATTATCTTTACGTGCAAGTTTTATGATTTGTGCACATCCTTCAAGGGTGTATACAAAAGAATTTTTTGACTTGAATTCAATTTTTGAATGAACAAAATCGAATTCCAGTTCTGAGTGACCCGGTAAAAAAACACATGGTCAATTGTTTTTAAATTTGGGTGACAATATATTGACACATGGCAGCAAAGCAAAGTTTTTCTGTTGACCACCGCAATTGTCGGACATTATTTTGACATGTTCAATATCAGGGTAAGACATGATGTATTTAAATATACATGTAGCAATTTCAGTACTACCGCGTTTTCCCTGGGTTTCATCCCATAAGAAACACTGAACGGTTTTATCTCCTAAACTATAAATGGTCAAATTATATATGGCAAGTTTTCTAACATAAAAAAAGCTTCTGCAGCTCCTTTAGGCGTTGGCAAAACAGATTTCAGACCGAAATTAAATGCTGATATTTTCCTATTCTCCAAAGCCCACTGTTTATCTTCATTCTTTTTTTTTTGCTGCATCTTTTCTTTTGAGGTGTCTGTGATGGGCTTCTCGATTTAAAACTATTTCGTTATTTGGACTACCATCATAAGTGACACAAACTTTGCAAAAGTTTTTTTCAGCTTGTGAAATTTCATAAATGTGACACATTCGTCATTGTGCGTTGTACAAATATGACTTTAGTTACATTTATACAAAACAAAAGTATCGAATATGCCATTTTTGTCAATTTGCAGTATATTCGATATTTTAACCAAAACAAAATGACAAAATGTTCATATTCGATAGTTTAAACAAAATATTTCTCACGTTCCTTATCAAGCTCTAATTTCGATACAAGGTGTATCACGTCTAATGCAAGGACAAGGTATCGAATCTGAAAAACCCGATTTTTCACATTCGATAGTTGAAAACGGTAGGGACGAATATTGGAGCACGTAGGTCCATCATATTAAAAATAAGTAAGAAGGTAATGGAGATGGTTAACATAAAAACAATTCACAGATGAACTCATTATCGTTCTCTTCTACTCCCGCACATTCTTTGTGGGCCCACCGATAACGAGTGTAGCACCTAATCCATCCTTCGCCTTGTTTGCTTTCTTTATAAGAGCTATGACAAAAAAACACAAAGAATCGTCTTCATTCTCGCTTTTACTATTGCTGCCTTGATCGCTTTTCTCAATCATTTTTGTATTTTCCTTCTTCCTCGTTATTTTATTTTGTTTAAAATTTGGTTTTTAGAAATATTTCCTAAGCTTTTTTCTTTTTTGGAGTTAAAGAAAACGCTCTGGTCTTTTAAATTTGTTTTTCTCTTTACTGCTGCTAGTTTAAAATGTGTATTTTTTCTTTTTGTTTTTTTTTCTGAAACATCCTTAATAGGTGTGTTAGTTAGCATTGTGGAATTTTCTTTTCTCT